GAGCTGAAGTCAGACACTTAGCTGACTGAGCCACCCAGGCGCCCCTATTTATGTGTACTTTGAATGAAACTTTTATTTACTTATTTATTAAATATTTTATTTATTTATTTTTTGAGAGAGAGAGAACGAGCACGTGGGCAAGTGAGTGAGGGGCAGAGAGAGAGAGAGAGAATCCCAGGAGGGGCAGAGACACAGCGAGAGAGGGAGAGAGGGAGAGAGAGAAGCAGAGCTTATGCTCACCTGAGGTGGGGCTTGAGCTCACCTGATATGGGACTTGGACTCATGAACTGTGACATCAGGTCCTAAGCCGAAGTCAGATGCTTAACAACTGAGCCACGCAGGTGCCCCAAAACTTTTGTACCTAAAATATAATATTGGGGTGTCTGGGTGGCCCAGTCAGTTGGGCACCCGACTGTTGGTTTCGGTTCAGGTCATGGTCTCACAGGTTGTCAGTTCAAGCCCCATGTTGGGCTCTGTGCTGACAGTGCAGAGCCTGCTTGGGATTCTCTCTCTCTCTCTCTCTCTCTCTCTCTCTCTGTCTCTCTGCCCCTCCTTCGCTTGCTCTCTCTCTCAAAAACAAACTTTAAAAAAATAAATAAAAAATAAATAAAATATAAGTAATATTAACCTTAACAGTACTGCAAGTAAATTAGACTTGTGCCAAAAGTTAAAATCTGTATCTTTATGCTTTCTTTTTCTCTAAACTGTCCTTTCTTCTCTCCACCAGTAACTTCAAAACAAAAATAAAAACAAAACCTGATTACATGGCATAAAATAAATACATTTTATTATGGCATAAAATGAATCAAACTCTAGCACCTTCTTTGCCCTAATAAAGGAGTTACTGGGTTCATTTTATGCCTGTAAGGAGAACAAAAGTCCCTTGGAAGAGATTGATTCTCCTTTGATACATGCTACCGTGTGTATACTAAGCTAAATAACTTGTCATCAGCATTTTTCACATTTTTTAACTGCTTAAAGATTTTAATTCCTAGAAATAGGAGAGGTAATTGCTACTACATGGGTACTACTGAAACTTAATCTGTCACCCCAAAAGTTTCAACAATACTACGTTTAAGAAAATAGCAGTTTCATTTAGTCTGCCCATCCCTGTCACTTTGCTAGGCAACAAAGCACTGCTCAGTGCACCAAAAGGATTGAAAGGGGAAACTTCAGCGGCCTGCAAGAAAAAGAGAACCACAGAACTGAAGGGCTCTTAAGCCTGTCACCAAAATAGAAACAAACAAAAAAACACTCTTAATTTACCTGGACTTTGTTAGAATGACAGAAAAGAGTACCATTAAACTAGGAATCTTATAAACCCCTTCCCCACAACTAACACAGAATGAATAAGAAGAAATAAAATCCATAGGGACTTTATTGCAGAAAATCAGGAAACATCTGTTTTTACAAATCAACTGAGGAAATCTCTCCCCTTCTCCCAGAAAATAACTAAGAAACTATGAGTCTCTCCCCTTCTCCCAGAAAATAACTAAGAAACTATGAGTCTACATTCCAGACAAAATTGAATATGCTAAAACAAGCATTTGAGGGTGTGAAAACACCTTGAATCTGAAATTTTATTTTATTTTATTTTGTTTAATTTTAGAGAGGGAACATGCACACAAGCAGGGAGGGGGTGGGGGGTGGGGAGGGAGAGAGAGAGAGAATCTTAAGCAGTCTCCATGCTCAGCACAGAGCCTGATGCGGCACTCTATCCCACAACCCTGGGATCATGACCTGAGCTGAAATCAAGGGCTGGACATTCAACCACCTGAGCCTCTCAGATGGCCCTGAAATTTCAAAACTAAGAACAGGAATGATGAGAAAAAGAGGAATGGGGAAAAAAATTGATGGAATTTGGAAAACGGAAGAGAAAGACAAAATTACCTTAAATGAATTATGAAATAACTGAAACAGAATAGATGCTAATGAAAATTTACTAAGAGGCGATGAAGAAAGACATGAATACAGTTAGAATGAAGTGATGTAGGGGCGCCTGGGTGGCGCAGTCGGTTGAGCGTCCGACTTCAGCCAGGTCATGATCTCGCGGTCCGTGAGTTCGAGCCCCGCGTCGGGCTCTGGGCTGATGGCTCGGAGCCTGGAGCCTGTTTCCGATTCTGTGTCTCCCTCTCTCTCTGCCCCTCCCCCGTTCATGCTCTGTCTCTCTCTGTCCCAAAAAAATAAATAAACGTTAAAAAAAAAAAAGAATGAAGTGATGTAAAGAAAGAAGTGAGTGAGAGAAGTAGTGGGAATGGAAAACAGACAAGGAAGACAAAGTACATTCATATTATATGAGTCCCTCAAGAGAAAAAACAAAACAATTGAATAAAATTGATGCTCAATATAACCCAAAAGGAGTTTCCAGAATTGGAAAAAAATCTGAATCTACAAATTAAAAGGGTTCACTGGGTATCTGGGAAAATTAACCCAGAATTATCAATTCTGAGGCATAGCCTAATAAAACTATTAGATTTCAGAGATAAAGGTAAAACCATTAAGGCTTCTAGGCAAAAAGAACACATAACGCACAAAGGCGAAAGAATTAGAATGACATGAATTTTACAAAGAAGACAGCAGCTGAGCAGGATTTTTTTAAAAGCTCAGTGAAAGGATTTTCTATCCAGTTGAAATGTCCTTCCATATTGAGGCTATAGAAAAAGAATTGTACAAAATCTTGGATAATTACTCACCCGCCAGCCATTTCTGAGGAATATACTAAAGGATGAACTTCGTCCAACCAAATGATGAGTGGGAAATTTTCACCAGAGGACTGATAGAGGAAGGATACAGGCAGAAGGCTAATGTACAAGTGTTGTATGTTGTAACAGATTAGAAGATTGTAGCTAAAACAATGGGATAAGAAAAGAAGAAGAAGATAATGTGTAGGCAGTAAGTGGATTTTAAAAAATACTGATGAAAAACTTGACAAATTTAGTAAAATATTAAATAAGGCAATGGGTAATGAAGGGTATTAAAATATATGTAAGTACAGAGGTAACCACTGGAACAAAAATAAGTGCCAAACCCTCCTCAATTTTTAAAAAACAGACAAGCAAAAATACACATCTCCCAATGAGCACAACAGCTAATATCATAAAATACATATAATTAGAAAATGTGATATAATTGAAACCAAAAGCATCAGTTCTCTACAACCTGTTAAAAGGGGTTTAGACTTGGCTCACAAAACAAAAACCTTGTGGAGACAACAGACATATGTAAAATAAAGTGATTCAGAGAAAAATAAAGGATTGGACAAAAATATTACAGATAAATGAAAAGAGAAATTGAACAGGTGTAGCTGTTCTGATACAAGGCAAATTGAATTCAAGCCCTAACACATTAAATGTGACAAAGGACACTTCTTTTTTTTTTTTAATGTTTATTTTTGAGAGAGCACGTGAGCCGGGGAGGGGCAGAGAGAGAGGGACACAGAATCTGAAGCAGGCTCTAGCCTGCTGTCAGCACAGAGCCCGAGGACGTGGGGTTTGAACCCACAAACCATGAGATCATGACCTGAGCTGAAGTCAGGGGCTTAACTGACTGAGCCACCCAGGCGCTCCAACAAAGGACACTTCTTAATGCTATAAGCCACAAACTCCAATTAAGATAGGATACTTACGAAATATATATTCACAAATATATGTATGTATACACACATATCAACTAATACAGCAATCGGGCATCTGGGTGGCTCAGTTGGTTAAGTGTTTGCCTTTTGAGTTTGGCTCAGGTCATGAGATCATGGTTCGTGAGTTTGAGCCCCGCATCAGGCTATGTGCTGGCAGTGCGGAGCCTGCTTTGGATTCTCTGTCTTTCTCCCTCTCTCTGCCCCTCCCGTGTTCATGCTGTCTCTGTCTCTCTGAAAATAAATTTAAACTTTAAACATACTAAGAAAAAAATAATACAGCAATCAACTTTATAGAACAAAACTATAGGAGATGCAAAATGCATAGTTAAACACACTAACAATAGGACACTTTAATAACAAATGGTAAAAAAAAAAAAAAAAAAAGAGAGAAAAGCTCTCAACAACATAATAGGCTGTATTTTATGGAGATCTGTACTTAAAATTTATAACCTGATAGGAAAAGACAACGTGGCGTACTCAAAAAAGTTGTTTGTATATTAGATCACAAAGAAAACATCAGTAACATCCATAAAGTAGAAATTTTACTGTAAACAACACTTTTATAGCAACATAACAAAACTAGAGCTTACTAACAAAAACAAAAATCAGGCCAACCTACCTGGAAATTAAAATTTAGTTAGTTAGTTATGGGAGAGCACAAGTGGGGAAGGGGCATTGGAAGGGGACTAGAGGATCTGAAGCGGGCTCAGCACTGACAGGCTAACAGCAGCAAGCCTGATGTGGGGCTTGAACTGTTGGACTATGAGATCGTGACCTGAGCTAAAGTTGGATGCTCAACTGACTGAGCCACCCATGTGCTGCCCCACCAAATTGTTTTTGTGTTTGTTTATTTTTGAGAGAGAGAGAAGAGAGACAGAGGATCCAAGCCTGATGCAGTGCTTGAACTCATGAATTGTGAGATCATGACCTGAGACAAAATCAAGAGTCAGACCCCCTACCTGGAAATTTTCAAACTTTCATTAAATACACACATGCCTTGGAGATCTTGTGGGGCAATTCCAGACCACCACAATAAAGCAAACATTGCAATAAAGCGAGTCAAATGAATTTTTTTTGGTTTCCCAGTGCATATCAAAGTTATATTTACACTATAGTCTATTAAATGTGCAGTAGTTTAATGTCTAAAAAAGTACCTATTTCAAGTAAATACCTATTGGTAAAAAATGCTAAAATTTGAGCTTTCAGCAAGTTGTAATCACTGATGACAGATCACCATAACAAATATTATAATAATGAAAAAGTTTGAAATAGTAGAGGGATAAGAGTAGATAAAGAAGAAACACTAACTGTATCTGCCAGTGATACAATAGTATACCTGAAAAATTTGAAAGAAATCAATGCTAAAACAAACAAGAAAAATAAGAATTTAGTATAAGAGCAGGATACAAAATTGATAATTATAAAAAAGTAGCTTTCATATATACAAACAATTAGGGGACATAATGATGGAGAAAATCCCATTTATAATAGTCAAAAGGAAGACTAAATATGTAGGAATAAATTTACAAGAAATATGTAAAAGTTAGGTAAGGAAATTTTTAAAACATTCTGGGAAGATTTGGAAAAAGACTTAAACATTGAAAGATGTCCTCTTTTGGATAGGAATACTAAACATCATGATAACAGTTATTTATTTTTTAAATGCTTTGACCTCTGCAATGGCAGTAAAGATTTTAATTTGAAACTACAGGTTTCACCTATAAAGCTGAATTTAGCAACAAGACAAAAAATTAAATAATTTGGTAAATGCGGTGCTTTAAAAAATTTTTTTAATGTTTATTCATTTTTGAGAGACAGAGTGTGAGCGGCAGAGGGAGGACAGAGACCGAGGGAGACATAGAATCCAAAGTAGGCTCCAGGCTCTGAGCTGTCAGCACAGAGCCCGATGTGGGGCTTGAACCCACGAACCGTGAGGTTATGACCTGAGCTGAAGTCTGACACTTAACCGACTGAGCCACCCAGGCGCCCTGAAAAATATTTATATTCATAATTAGAGAAATGCAAATTAAAATGACAATATTTTTTCTCACCTATCAGACTGGCACACATTTAAAAATATGTATTCTTTTGGTGAGGCCATGGAGAAATGGGCATTTTTGTACATTGCTGATGGAAATGCAGACTGCTACAAGCCTTCTCTAGGGCAATTTGGGAATGTGTAACACAAAGGACATGGGTGCTTACCTTGTGACCCAAGCGATCCTACTTTTAAGCAGTCTCTGCTGGAGCTACACCTCCAACAGTATGAAAATACAATATGTACAGGGTTATTTATTGTTTGTTTATATTGTTGCATTGTTTATAATTGCAAAATATTAGAAATGCCCTAAATATATACATAGGAGAGTGTTGAACAAACCATAGGACATCCATACAGTTAAGTGTTGTGCAGCTATACTAAAGGCTGAGGAAGGATGAACTGATAGCATAGTTTCTAGGAGATACTGTTACATGAAAAAAGCAAAGCCCCATGGGACGCCTGGGTGGCTCAGTAGGTGAAGCTCAGGTCATGATCTCACAGTTCATGAGATTAAGCCCTGAGTTGGGGCTCTGCACTGATAGGATCCTGCTTAGGATTCCCTCTCTTCTCTCTCTCTCTCTCTCTGCCCACCCTCCCACCCCCACGTGTGCTCTCTCTTGCTCTCTCTCAAATAAACTTTATTAAAAAAAAAAAAAAACACAAAAAACAAAGTCCCAAAGCATATGCCACCTTTTATGTAAAAACTCAGTTTGCCAGGTATCAGTTTGTTGGGTCTCATCTATAAACTTGCCTTTTTTTGCCTTCTCTGTAAAAATGGGCCTTGGCCCTTATCCTTGGCCAACTGGCACATTGTTAAGCTTTGTCAGTAAAAGTGCAGAAGAGATTTTGCAAGAGGGAAGGGTTTTGCTTGCTGGGCCGCTGTTCAGGGCGCACAGCACCTGGCTGTCTGCAGCTCCCATTGCCCAGCACTGTTCCCTGCCCCTCCACCCCCCTTCGTGTTTCCCCTGTGCAGCTCCTCCTCGTACCCTGCATTTCCAGCAGTTTTGCTGCTGGAGCACCATAGCAACTTTCTCTGCCCTTCAGGGAGTCACAGCCATGGCCCCTTTAACAAACTGTGGATCTCAGTCCTGCGGGGAGAAAAGGAAGACTTCTTGGGCACTGTGTCTCAGCCCAGAGGACAGGATGCTCCTTAAGTATGCTATGCCTATATTCTGCAGTTCTTTACTTCTTACTTACTAATCACTACTCTAATCATCTGTTAAAGTTATTACTTCCTTAGATTAAGCTTTCTCTGTTCTAATTACCGTGTAGGTTTTTTTCTTCCTAAATTGAACTCTGATAGAAAAAGAATTTTTTTTTTTTGAAAGAGAGAGGGTGAGTGGGGGAGGGGAGAGAGGGAGACAGAGAGAGAATCCCAAGCAGGCTCTGCACTGTCAGTTCGGAGCCCGATGTGGGGCCAAACTCACAAACTGTGAGATCATGACCTGAGCTAAAACCAAGAGTCGGATGCTTAACTGACTGAGCCACCCAGGTGCCCCACAAAACTTAAGAAAATACACAGATATTTGCTTATTTGAACAAAACAAATGGAAAGCATAAACCACAACTGTAGAGATTGGTTGCCTACAAGGGGTGGGTGGGAAAGGGGTGGGAAGTAAGGAAGGAATGGGAACAAGTTAGTAGGGATGAGGAGGGAATGGTGCTTCTTCGGGTGTGTGTGTGTGTGTGTGTGTGTGTGTGTAAACACATTATATGTATCTATAACTCTGACCGTTAGGACCATAGTGAGGTCTCACCTATCCTTTACCTGTCTCCAAAGCAATCAATTAAAACCAGCCAGGATGTGAGTTATTTGGGGGGACCCAAAATAGAGCACAAGAACTAACAAATGACGCTGTGTCACAGATAACAACACTGAAGAGAATGAGGAAGAAAGAACTGACCTAAGTCCTGCAGAAGCGTAGCTTGATTCAGTGTTGCAAGGCTAAAAGCAAAAAGTACTGTTCATGACTTAGTGATTCTGAAACTGTGTTTTCTAGGCTTGAACAAATAAGTGAATTAACTAATGGGTAAGGGGAGCCAGGTTTCTCACCCGTGGAGAAAGAAGTTACAAGGAAAGGTTGAGGGCTAAAATGAGCCCTCTGAGTTTCGTTTGAGATTAGAGTGTCGGTATAAACTCATGGTTAAATATATACCAGATAGAAAAATACAGAAATGCAGATGTTTGTACATGCGTGGGATAATACACATCTGCATGTTTTCTGCCTCTCTCCGCTGAGAGGTTTGGAAGCACTGATGGCAGTGGCATTGAAAACACCCAGGGCTGAGACCGGGAAATACAGGGTGAGCCTTGAGCATCTTATGGTGCTAGGCGAAAGTAAGGAAATGCTCAAAAAAAGGATGAGGGTTTGTTGAAAGAACGGGAGCCAACTTGAAGGAGTTCCTGATGGCCACAGTTTGATCAGCAGAGTAATTTAATTAGATATTAGTTAACTAGGTACTAACCTACAGAATGAAGTAAATACGAGTTCGTGTTACTATAAATGACCAAATAAATGGGAGAAAAGAGACCGGTCTTTCTCATAATGCTAGTGAATAAATGTAGAAGGAGGGAAATAGAGAATTGCCACGAGGCATATTCCACAGTAATATATGTGCAGACAAAATTTTTTGTTAATTTTTTTTAACATTTATTTATTATTGAGAGAGAGAGAGAGAGAGAGAGACAGAGCATGAGCAGGGGAGGGGCAGAGAGAGCAGGAGACACAGAATCCAAAGCAGGCTCCAGGCTCCGAGCTGTCGGCACAGAGCCCGACACGGGGCTCAAACTCACAAACTGCAAGATCATGACCTGAGCTGAAGGTCGCTAACCAACTGAGCCACCCAGGCGCCCCAGACAAAATCTCCTTTTGAATGCTAAAATTCCTGGGTGAAAGTTCTAGGAGAAACAAGATTTGCATGGTTTCAAAGGATCTCCCCCTAAATACTCAGCAACTACAAAGGAAAATAAAGTATCTTTTTAGCGTAGGAATCGGGCAGACAGGAACCTAACCAAGGGCAGCCTCACCAGTAACAAGACATGTGAATATCGACACCATGAACTTCTTGGTGTGAACCGTGAGGACATCATTCTTGTGGTATTCTTGCCCCAAATGTACAACCTTACTCTAATTGTGAGTAGACAGTAGTCAGTGCAAATTCAAGGATATTCTACAAAGTAACTGAGCGGTGCTCTTCAAAAGTGTCAAGATTATGAACGGCAAGAAAAACTGAGGAACTGCAGCCACCTGGAGGGAAAGGAGAAGCAAGAAATGCAGCACAGTGTCCTACAGAGGATCCTGGCGGCGGAAAAAAGGCATCACGTTTAAAAATTTGTGAAATTCGGGGCGCCTGGGTGGCGCAGTCGGTTAAGCGTCCGACTTCAGCCAGGTCACGATCTCGCGGTCTGTGAGTTCGAGCCCCGCGTCGGGCTCTGGGCTGATGGCTCAGAGCCTGGAGCCTGTTTCTGATTCTGTGTCTCCCTCTCTCTCTGCCCCTCCCCCGTTCATGCTCTGTCTCTCTCTGTCCCAAAAAAATAAATAAACATTAAAAAAAAAAAAAAAAAGACTTCAAAAAAAAATTTGTGAAATTCGAAAAAGACTTACAGTTAATAATGCTGTATTAATGTTAATTTTCTGATCTTGACAATTACTCTCTGATCATATAAGGCATTAACATAGGGAAACCTAATGAGAGGTGTAGGGGACTCTCTACTAATTTGACAGCTTCTCTTTAAGTCTGACATTACTTCAAAATAAAAGTTGAGTATTGAAGATACCTTGGAAGACTCAGTAAAGAATATTGAAGTTTGATTTTTCTTGTGTCTCTGGCAGGGTTAGAAAGAGGCTTCTGGAACAGCGGGAAGAAACCATAACGATAGATCGGGTTTGCAGGCAAGAAACCTTTGCTTACGAGATGGTAAGAGTCTCCTCTTTTGCACCTTTTCCCGTGAAACAATGAACTGTGTCATTAGGCGTTAGTGGTATCTCCGTGGTGGCTTTCTATTGGATATGCTTAGTTGAAAACAAACCGGAGAAACCTCGTTGGGACTGGGAACTGGTAGGAGAAACAGACCCATACCTGGGTCTTTCAGATCTCTGCCTTTATTTTTGCTTTCAGCTTAGTCTTGCTCTGTGTGTTAGGCTAACTTCATGCCTTTTCATCATCCTATTCCTGATACTTTTGTTCTGCTCCGGATTTTGATTTCACCACTTTCTTCCTTAATCTACCAGCTCTTAATGTAAACCGTCAGAAAAATTTAAGATGCGGAGTAGTGAGGAATTAAGTGTTAGTAGACATGATGGTTTTATTCAGTACATATTCTTGAGGACCTACTGTGTGTCAAATGCTGTGTTGGGCACATTATAGTACATAAGGGCATCTGTTTTCTCTCCCATGTATATTTTTATTGTAAAATTTGAGTAACATAAACCTTACTATTTTTTAAAAAATTTTTTTTTTTTTAACATTTATTTATTTTTTGAGACAGAGAGAGACAGAGCATGAACGCGGGAGGACAAATGCAATATTTGTCCTTTTGTGTTCAGCATATTTTACTTAGTATATTGGTTCAAAGGTTTATCTGTGTGTTATAGGTATCAGGACTTCATTCTTTTTTTTTTGACTGAATAGTATTCCATTGTATGGATATACCACTTTTTTTAAATCTGTTCATCCTTTTTTAAGTTTATTTATTTATTTTTGAGAGAGAGCACAAGTGTGCGTGAGCAGAGGAGGGGGAGAGAGGGAGAGGAAGAGGGAGAGAGAGAGAGAGAGAGAGAGAGAGAATCCCAAGCAGGCTTCTTGCCATCATCACAGAGCCCAAAGCAGGGCTTGATATCATGAGCCTCAAGCCCATGACCTGAGCTGAAATCAAGAGTCAGATGCTCAACCGACTGTCACGCAGGTGCCCCCATCTATTTATCTTTTGATGGACATTTGGCATATTTCCACTTCTTAGCTATTGTAATAATGCTGCTGTGAACATGAATACACAGGTATCTGTTTGAGTCCATTTTCATTTCTTTTCAGTACATATCTGGGAGTGGAATTGCTCAGTCATAAGGTAATTCTAGGCTTAACATTTTGAGGAACCACCAAACTGTTTTCCAAAGGAGCTGCATCGTTTTACATTCCCACCAGCAATGCACAAAGATTCTAGTTTCTCCACATCCTCTTTAGCATTTGTTATTTTCTGGGTGTTTTGTTTTGTTTTGTTTTGTTTTGTTGAGAGTAGCCATCCTAGTGGACCTAAAGTGGTATCTCCTTATGGTTATGCATTTCCCAGGTGATAAGTGATGTTCAGCATCTTTTTATGTGCTTGTTGGCTCTCTATATATCTTCATTGGAGAATGTCTATTCAAGTCCTTCACTAGTTTTTTAATTGGGTTGTTTCTTTGTTGTTGAGTTGTAAGAGTTCTTTGCATATTCTGGATACTAGACCCTTACCATATGTGTGATTTTAAAAATATTTTCTCCCATTCTACAGGTTGTCTTTTCACTCTCTAGATAGTGCCCTCTGATACGCAAAAGTTTTAAAATTTGATTAAGTGTGGGCACCTGGGTGGCTCAGTCATTAAGCATCTGATTTCAGGTCATGATCTTGCTTGCGGTTCGTGAGTTCGAGTCCCACATCGGGTGAGCATGAACCCCACTTCGGGTGGGCTCGAGCCCGCATCAGGTGAACACGAGTCCCACTTCGGGTGAGCCCTACTTCTCTTTCTCTCTCTCTCTCTTTCTCTCTCTCTTTCTCTTTAGCATTTCTATATGGCAAGTCTAGTAGCAATGAACTCCTTCATCTTTCTTTTTTTTTTTAATCTGAAAATGTCCTTAATTTTTCTTTCATTATTGAAGGATATTTGCCAGGTATAGAATTCTTGCTTAATGGTTTTTGTTTTCCTTTCTCTCTCTCTCTCTCTCTCTCTCTCTCTCTCTCT